AGTACAGAGATTTGACGGTGGATTACTTACAATCTCTTATCACAGGGAATATTCTCAGGAAAGGACATCTCGCTTTCAGATGATTTTGTGTCCTAGTCAACCTGGCGCGTACTTACCGTTGTCGTCTTCTGGTACCATTCGGATCTCCCGATCTTGGCAGACTACCCTGTGCATCACACAGCAGTGCGGTCAAGCTAGGCACGCGCCCCTTTCGTCAGGCCTGACCAAATCATTCGCCGCTTCCACGCAACGTCCAAGTCGTCCACATGAGCTGTGACAAGGACGTTTCGCGAGAGTGGAGCCTGTGTTCCATGGCGTTTGAACGGAGAATCCAGTAATGTGTTCTAACGCTATGATACAGTTGTATCACAAAGGGTTGTCACATCACTTGTCAACGGAATATAAGGTGGTATAATAGCGCGTTCTTTTTGTGACCACTCTATGCTCAAAAGGTGAAGTGGGTTACCCAGCTTTGGCCCACGTAGTGATTGGAGCCATTGTAACGTGAATCATAACAATAAACAATAAAGTACAGAAAGTAAGTACCTCGTTGCGACATAAATCGTATCCAAGAACATGCGCAGCCCTTTCTTTTTTTTCCTGTCACACTCTGTGTCAATCTCTCATCAAGAAAAACATGGAAGCTGCGAGCCTGCGTTGTGTGTCGTGGGCTGCCCACAAGCCATGCAGCCACGTAACCTAGTAACTAGCGATGGATGAGTCACTAAAGAGGCAGTTCATAACCGAGCAGCGAGTGTAGAATTACGGGACAAGTGGACTGCAGGAAACGGTTTCCAGTAGCTCTGTAGAGAAAGGAAAAGTGTGGCCCAAGGCAGGCGGAACGTGCTGGCACATTTGTTCAGCGATTCTGCCTGCCAGGCGTTGAGGCTGGGCTGTCGTCCCTGGAGCTAGACGATTGCAGGTAAAGACTGCGGGGCAGAGGGTGGCGGGAAGAGCCCGGATGTAAACGATCCCCGAGAACGACAGGTGCCCGGTTTTGTTGCAGCTCAGGGCTTAGCGCCAGTCACCTCGAGCTGTGAGGTAGACCCCGAACCAATCACGACTGGGTCGAGGAGTAATGACAAGTTGAAAGACAGAGCCGTGGTTGCAAACCGAAAAAAAATAAAAAAGAAAGAAAGCTAGTTAGTAAATAGATAACTAATAAATACTTCATACCAAAAACCAGCTTGTTGCTGGCGTCTAGAAGCCGTCTTCTCGTACGCATCGTCTTTCAACGCGCTCACACTACTTGCAATTCCAGATCGTTGTGACAGCCCTGGAGTCGCCGGGGTGGGGCGCCTTCGGTCTTGATCGTCCTCTGCCCAATAATAACCCGTATTGAGGAAAATGATCTTTTGCAGGGGTGAGAGGATCGAAAGACAAAGTTTAGTATCCAAACACACAACCCTAAATGGTAATGACCGCACTGAAGGTGGTCCCGGGGACTCCCTCGGAACAAAGGGTGTGTAACTGTCCCGCAAGAAGACAATTCTCTATACACTCACCCAACCGTCCCTACATCGCAATTTGGCTTACCCCCACGCAAGTTGCAATCACCGTCAACCAGCTAGTGCGCGGCTCAACACCAATCGGTGTCATTGTGAACAGCGCACGAGGACCCAGCGTCTTAAATGAAGTTGACGAAACTCCAATAAGTGATATTCACATTCATACTGACCTATTAATAATATTTATTACGTAATAAATATTCATTCATTCATTCATTCATTGTTAATTTTTACTTACGAGCTCGGGCCATTGTGCCCGGATTGTCCTACCATGCCAAACGTGCCGAGGGAGCAATCATCTTCACATCACATAGCAACGCGAGGCCGTGTACACCCATGTTAAGAAGATTTGCCAGGACGACAGAGCAAGCCATTGCAACACGTTTCGGTCATCCCGACGCAGTTTATGCTTCAATAGCGTGCGTGTCAAATAATGTGACCAACTTCGGTGAGCCGCGCCACGAGGGCCTCGGGATAATTCTCAACACATTGCATCAAGAGTATAAGAGCTCTCACATAACGGAAGTACCGCAATAGCATTTCCTGTATGTGTGGTAATGTCATTTGTTTTGACGAACTCTTGCTCTCTTGTATGCTCGGCGCGCGTAGAAAGTTGTTCAAGCGTAGAATTAGCCGACCTTCCCATAGTGAGGCTGCAGCGCATCCAAGTTGGGCGACATGAAGGACACAACGGAAGTTGAGAAGCCACAGCTCTACGACCCCCATAAGGTATTGCCTGGCTGAGAGATCGTTGCATACGCTAGATCTCTATGTAATAGGCCCAGCCGCTTGAGTTCAGGTTAGCAAGGGAGGCGCAATAGTCCTTGAAGGCGTTGGCTTGGGGGCCTGGATTGGCGCCATCCATAGGGTACTCGGCATAAGAGAGCGTGTTGCATGGATTCAAACGCCACCCGGACCAGCCCCACGTGAGAATGACAGCGGCTACAAGGCCGGTGGGAAAAGCTCCTGCACCAACCACGGGCCGTACACGCATTACTCAGAGTAAGTGGTTGATGTGGATCGAGGTGGATGGATATCCGGTGTCAAGCAACGAGCCACGAGGGTGCAACCATTGCACCCTCGAATCTTTCCAAAACCAATCCCTCTGGGCTGTCAAATCAAAGACGGCATGTTGGGTACACGTTTTCACAACTTGGCTGGCACTCTACAACCTTGCACACCATACACACCATACACACAATACACGGTCATTGAAACGCACTTCTAGCCAAAATATCTCCTACAACCACGCCCAGCGCATACACTTCTCTTGACGCAGCCAAGGCTGCGCAGAGCGGCGCCTTTCTCACAGCTTGGCCTGCTAATGATACCGTTATTTCGCTGCCTTCACTGACGGACCTTTCTCTGGAAACGGGATACCGAAAATCTTCCAGTGGAGGTGCTTCTCAGAATTCGTCGACCGAAAGCCTTCCGCAATCTGCAACAACTGCACCTTCAACACCATGAGGTGCGAGAGGTTCATATTCGCACCTCTTCTTGCTCATCCTCAACTCAAGTGCTTCACTACCATTGTCACGAACGACAACGGATCAGGCGACGCAGACATGAGAGGAGAATAGCACTATCTTGGATGTCATTTTTGTGTCAATTTGAGCATGATCCTCACCGCACAGTAAGAGGACTGCCCTGGGCACACACCCAGCCTCCGAGCTAACATCATATCAATAGGCCCAACACAGGTCTAGGCCTATGACAGTACAAAGACACGCCTAAGTGACAAAATTCTTTAATGCAAATCTATGGTGGTCAAAGAGTGGGCACATTAGCGTACAGCATAGCCAAGCGAGATATTAGTCTTCCTAATTGTCAGAATCCCGATCCAGGTCATGGCTGAAAAACTTTGCAAAATAAAAGCCATATTAGAATGGAACTGGAGCGATACAGTAGCAGCAAACTGACGAACCAAACAACAACATGCTCCATCTTTGTTGTATTAGATGGGACAGCCTTGTATACCGTGAGAACCTGCAGAGATATAAGCGTGACACGGAAGTTAAGGATATGTGAAGCGCGGCCAGATATGGGCACTTTCTGCGTGTCCATTCCTTTCCAGTTAGTTTGGATAAGCCGCAGGAGCTTGTGCGATTCCGCATTGCTAGAGTAGTTGCACAGTGGCAAGTCAAAAATATATTATTATTAATACATATATATATTGTGTGTGTGAATTAGTTGTAGGAAACGAAGAAGAAGCGGGCCCAACACTGCAAAAGAAGCGTGCGTACAGGTAGATATATGTCCAAGGCGACGTTCAGCTCGTGTGTAATTCGTAACTCAATGTCATCATTGGCATAATGGAGCTGCCTCACTTCCATTGCTTTGCGATACATTGCGATCCGTACCTGGTTAGGCTTGCACTGGAAAGTCTTACGGCGTTGATGCCTCCGCCGCTTCACCGTACCACACATTGAATGGGTAGCCAGAGTCGTTCGGGTTGAAGGGAACGTGTCTCATTTAGTGGCAGCGATTAAACAACGCCGGCCGCACAGAAAGCTCTAGCGGGTTAGCGGGTTCAGCAATAGCTACACGGATGTGTGTCCCGTCCGATAAGCAATCCCCTGCCGCACCGTCGTTGGAAAACATATTTTAAACGGCAAGCATACCTCGCCGTATATTACAAATAGTGCGTCAGCCTTTCTCTGTGTCGTGCGTCACGTACGTACTGTACATGGAACTGGTCGGTTTTATTCTCCCACTTTAGATAAATGCAACTTGCAGGCACCGTTCCAGTAATTGTCAGCCAGCCATGGGGTTCGTGAATGGCTACCCTACAGCCGCGGGCAAGCTGTCACAGCATGATCTACCAACTCTCCCCTGTAAAAATTCTTCACTTTTTCAAGCTGTTAGCAGCTCGATAGTGGGGTCACATTTTGGTCGTGGGGCGAGGATTTGCAGGCTACTCGACCGTGCTTTCCGCTGCGAGCGCCCATCGTGGCACTAACAGCCCAGAAAATGACCTTACGAGAGTTCACCATCTTCTGCAAAGCCGGTCCTGACAATCACGTCCACTCGGACCTCATAGTCTCTTTCGGAACCAAGGAGCTATGGGTATTGGAAGGCCAGCTCTTCTAAACAACGGTGGCTGGTCGCGGGGTTTTTTCTCCCTGAAGGCAAGCTGCTCGACAGCCTCTGATTCCTTCGAAGGGTTTTTCCCTGCCGCCGCCCCTCGGCCGGTTCTTTTCCTTGGAGCAAGCGAGGATGGATATAAAGCTTTGAAAGCTTTGGCAGAGGGGACGAGAGAATTCTGACCGGACAAAACCAAGGGTTGACCATTATG